TAGTCCCGCCTTAGCATGAAAGACGGCTGGGTGATTTGGGGCCAATCACCAGGAGACGGGGAGTTTTAGTCCCGCCTTAGCATGAAAGACGGCTGGGTGATTTGGGGCCAATCACCAGGAGACGGGGAGTTCTAGTCCCGCCTTAGCATGAAAGACGGTTGAGTGATTTGGGGCCAATCACCAGGAGACGGGGAGTTCTAGTCCCGCCTCAGGCATGAAAGCCAGCTCGTGGATTTTGGGCCAGCCCTCTCTCTCAGTCCAGCCCACCTCACAGGGTTGTCGTTGTGGAAAAATAGGAGGAGGAAGGATATGTTGGGTATGTTTGCTGCCTTGAGCCAATTGTAAAATAATACAGGTGGGATAAAAAATAAATGAAATAAAAACAGCACCGGTTCGAAAAGAGAAAGCAAATCTCTTAGCCAAGCACACGGGGGTGGGGGGGCTTCTCAGGGCCTCCCGAGACCACCGTCTCCCCCCAAGCCACCGCCCGCCACCCCCTCCCCCTCCCCAGGTCTCGATGGCCTGACTCTGGGGCCGCGGACCGGCGGGCTGACCTGGGCATGGCGTGGCCGGTGAGCTGAAGCTTCCGGAAGGTCTCTTCGTACTGGGGGAGCTCCACGTAGGTGATCAGCCACTGCACCACCTCCTCGACCGTCCAGTTGTAGACTGCAGAAGGGGGAGAAACAGCAGGGACAGGCAGGTTTTTCCCCCCCTTCCGAACCCCCAATTCTCACAGGGCCCTCTCAGGTCTGTGCGCATTCACCATGTAGTAGGGAGGGAGGAGGGAGCCTTATCAGAAGATCATTGTGCACCCCCACCAGGAGAGATCTGCCCACCACCGCTTGCCCCCCCCGGAGGGGCCTGCAAAGCTGCTTCCGCCCGCTGGCCTGGGGTCTCGACGGGGGGGGGGGTTGTGTCTTGCTGGGGGCGGCTGGTGGTTTAAGAGAACGTTCCGTCTTCACCCTGCTGTACACTGGATCCTCCTGGTCTCTGCTAACTTTCGTGGCAATATTTCATTTTAATGTTGGGTTCTTGGTGCTCTCCGAGCTTGGTTGCTTTCTCGCAGATGTTGCATTAACAAACTAGGTAACATCATCACCCTAGCCAAGGAAGGAAGGAAGGAAGGAAGGGGAGGAAGGAAGGAAGGAAAGTGGGGAAGGGAGAGAGGGAGGAAGGAAGGGAAGGGAGAGAGGGAGGGAGGGAGGGAGGAAGAGAAGGAAGGAAGGAAGGAAGGAAGGAAGGAAGGAAGGAAAGGGGGGAAGGAAGGAAAGGAAGGAAGGAAGGAAAGGGGGGAAGGAAGGAAAGGAGGGAAGGGAGGGAGGAAGGAAGGGGAGGGAGGGAGGAAGGAGGGAAGGAAAAAAGGAGGGAGGGAGAAAGGAAGGAAAGAAGGAAGGAAGGAAGGAAGGAAGGGGGGAAGGGAGAGAGGGAAGGAAGGAAGGAGTGCAATGCCACTCCCACCTTTGGAAATCTTTTTTCAAGAGTCTGGGGAGGGGCTTGTGGGGGGGGGGGTCTCCCACTTCAGTTAGCATTAATTTGGATCACTCCCTTCCTCAGCTCTGCTCCGTAAGGGCTTGCTGTGAAAGTACGTCATAATACATAGGGATTATTGTTTATTCATTCAGCTGTGATTACAATAAACAGGGAGGAGGAAGAAAGGGCTGGGGGGGGGGGAGAAGGACACTGGAGGTGATGGAGACCCTCCCAGTCTGGTCGTTTTCCCTACCAGCAGAGGAAGTGCAAGGACGCTGGAGCGCTGGGCTGATCCCAGGTTGACGGGGTCACCCCATTCCCCAAAGCGCCTGAAGAAGGCAGGACAAGAAGCAACGGATGGAAACTCACCAAGGAAAGAAGCAACCTGGAACTAAGGAGAAACTTCCTGACAGTTAGAACAATTAACCAGTGGAACAGCCTGCCTCCAGAGATTGTAGGTGCTGCCTAACTGGAGGCTTTTAAGAAAAAACTGGATGGTCACTTGTCTGGAATGACATAGGGCAGGGGTAGTCAACCTTGGCTCTTTTATGACTCGTGGACTTCAACTCCCAGAATTCCTCAGCCAGCACAGCTGGCTCAGGAATTCTGGGAGTTGAAGTCCACGAGTCATAAAAGAGCCAAGGTTGACTACCCCTGACGTAGGGTCTTCTGCTTGAGGAGACCTTGGACTAGGAGACCTCCAAGGTCCCTTCCAACTCTATTATTCCACATTCTGGAAACGCAGGCTGCACCCCAAGAATCAGGGCCGCCTCGTCCTAAGGAGAGGAATGGGGAAATGGGCCCAGCCAATCGACACCCAGGTGTTTCTTGCTGCTGGATCGATGCCGGGGGACTCACAGTGATTCTGGCACTGGGAAAGAAGAACATTCTTCAGCCCATACGACCCCTTCGACCATCTGGGTTGGTCTTTCTGGACCCCTCCCCAGCTGGGATCTGAAGCACCAGCTGACTCCTTTCAACTACAGGTAGGCCTCAACCTACAACAGTTCATCATAAACTGGCAGGAGCAGCCAACACCCCAGAAGACAAACTCAAAAAGATCTTGACAAACTTGAAGAATGGGCCCTTTCCAACGAAATGAGTTTCAACGTGGAGAAAGGCAAAGTTTTACATTTAGGTAGGAAAAACCCAAAGGCACAAATACAGATTAGGCAAGACCTGGCTCAAAAACAGCCACTGTGAGAGGGACCTCGGAGTCCTAGTGGACGACCACTTGACCGTGAGCCAGCCGTGTGCGGCAGCAGCCAAAAAAGCTAATAATACAATCCTGGGTGGTATAAACAGAGGCATAGAATCAAGATCACACCAGGTATTAGTAGTGCTTTATAAAAACCTAATGAGGCCACCCCTGGAATACTGCAGCCAATTTTGGTCACCATATCACAAAAAAAGATGTCGAGAGTTTAGAAAAAGTTCAGAGAAGAGCAACTAAGATGATCCAAGGCCTGGAGATTAAAACATACGAAGAATGGCTGCAGGACTTGGGTCTGGCTAGTATAAAGAAAAGAAGAAATAGGGGAGACAGGATAGCAGTATTCCATTATCTGAGGGGCTTCCACAAAGAGGAGGGGATCATGTTATTCCCCAGAGCACCAGAGGGCAGGACAAGAAACAATGGTTGGAAACTGATCCAAGAGAGAAGCAACCTGGAATTAAGGAGAAACTTCCTGACAGTGAGGACAATCAACCAGTGGAACAGCTTGCCACCAGAAGTTGTGGGTGCTCCATCACTGGAGGCTTTTAAGAAGAGGCTGGACAATCCCTTGTCTGAGATGGTATAGGTTCTCCTGCTTGACCAGGGGGCTGGACTAGAAGACCTCCAAGGTCCCTTCCAGCTCTATTCTATTCTATTTAGTGTTCAAAGTCACAAAAGCACTGAAAAGAGGGACGCGACCGTTTTTCACACTTATGACCACTGCAGTATCCCCAGGGTCACGTGATCAAAATTCAGACCTTGGCAGCTGACTCATATTTATGACGGTCGTAGCGTCCCAGGGGGGTCGGTGATCCCCTTTCGCGACCTTCCCACCAGCAAAGTCAGTGGGGAATCCAGATTCATTTAACGACCGTGCGACTAACTTCACAACGGCAGAATTCACTTAATAATCGGGGGCAAGAAAGGTCGTTAAATGGGGCCAAACTCACTTAACGACTGCCTCGCTTAGCAACAGGAATTTTGGGGCTCAACTGTGGCCGTGAGTCGAGGACTCCTTGCATGTTTTTTCTGCCCAGCAGGAGATCGGTGGCCGGCCAAACAGCTCGAATGCTACGTTTTGACCTTGGTCATAAAATAAACAAACATTTGTGGTTAATTTGGGGATGGAAAGAAGCCTAAGAATAAACGGAGCAGCCCATTTCAAGGGCCACCACGGCCTTTGTTTACTTTTTTAATTGGGCAGCTCATTTAGAAAGGAAAAGTCCCTGGCTCCAAAGGCTGCTTGTCCTCGTTTGGACTGGTCATCCTCAACACACAACACACACAAACACACATTCTGCCCCATTTGAGAGAGAAGAGAGGGATCGCTCTGTCCCTTTGCCAACTTTCCTGCGAGGGAGGCCGGAAGGATGAAGGCCTGGGAGGAAGGAAGGAAGGAAGGAGGGCCTCCCCAGCTGTTCTGCCCCCTCCAACACAGCTGGAGGGAGGCCAGGGGGGCGTCGGAGCAAAAGCCCGAAGGAGGACGGAGCCAAGAGGCCCCGGGAGGACCGGAGCTTGAGCCGAGAGCAGCAAAGGGCCCGGGCCGGGGGCTGACGGGCCGGGGGGTCCTCAGGGAGCCCGGTCAGCCTCGCCAGGGCTGCTCCGGCCGGGCAGGGATTGTGGTCCACCCACCAGGGCTGGGCTGCTGTGGGGCGTCAGCAGGAGGAGGGAGCCAGGAAGGCCGAAGGGCCCAGGGAGATCCCCATGGACTTCTGCTTGGACGGCTGACCTTCCTCTGGGGAAAGCACATCCGGAACTCAGGGCTGAGCTGGGGGGTTTTCTTGCAGATATTTCATTGCCCAACTTTTTTGGGCAATTTTTTATTATTATTATTATTATTATTATTATTATTATTATTATTATTATTATTATTATTATTATTATTATTATTATTATTTTAATAATCATAATCATAATCATAATCATAGTAAAGTTGGAAGGGACCTTAAAGGTCATCTAGTCCAACCCTCTGCTCAGGGAGGAAACCCTATACCATTTCAGACAAATGGCCGTCCAATCTCTTCTTAAAAACCTCCAGTGTTGGAGCAATTCACAAGTTCTGGAGGCAAGGAGTTCCACTGGTTAATTGTTCTCACTGTCAGGAAGTTTCTCCTTAGTTCTAGGTTGCTTCTCTCCTTGATGAGTTTCCACCCGTTGCTTCTTGTCCTGCCTTCAGGCGCTTTTGAGAATAGCTTGACTCCCTCTCCTTTGGGGCAGCCCCTGAGATACTAGAACATGGCTATCGTGTGACCCCCTCGTCCTTCTCTTCATTAAACTAGACAGACCCAATTCCAGCAGCTGTTCCTTATATGTTTTAGCCTCCAGTCCACTGATCCTCTTTGTTGCTCTTCTCTGCACTCTTTCCAGAGTCTCAACATCTTTTTTACATCGTGGAGACCAAAACTGGACGCAGGATTCCAAGGGTGGCCTTACCAAGGCCTTGTAAAGTGATCTTTACGTGATCTTGAGTCTCTCGCTCTGTTAATGCAGTCTAGAATTGTGTTGGCTTTTTTGGCAGCTGCAGCACACGGCTGGCTCCTATTTAAGGGATTGTCCACTAAGACTCCGAGATCCCTCTCACAGTTACTACTATTGAGCAAGGGGTCTGTCTGTCTGTCTATCTATCTACCTACATACCTACATACCTATCTATCTATCATTTCTACAGCTGCCCATCTCAGTCAACGGGTGGCTTACAATTCCAAAACTATATTACCATTAAAACATCAAAAACAAATATCCCTCAGATATTGGAATGTTGCTCTCATGTCAGCCCTGATCCTTCTTTTCACTAGACCAGGGGTAGGCAACCGTGGCTCTTTTAGGACTCGTGGACTTCAATTCCCAGAATTCCTCAGCCAGCATGGGGGAATTATGGCCCCCTCATGACTCGTGGACTTCAACTCCCAGAATTCCTGGGCCAGCCATGCTGAGGGAAAAGGGAGAGGTTTCCAAGCTGAGCCATGCTGGCTCAGGAATTCTGGGAGTTGAAGTCCTCGAGTCATAAAAGAGGCAAGGTGGCCTACCCCTGCACTAGACCTACCCAATTCCCGCAGCCCTCCCTCTTGTGTTTCAGCCTCCAGCCCCCTACTCCTCTCTGCTGCCCTTCTCTGCCCTCTTTCCAGGGTCTCAGCCTCTTTTTGGGAGCCTGCTGGCGGGAGGGGCCGGGAGAGACCCCCAGATAACAACAGGCTGCCCTCCAGGAGAGCCTGGCGCTTGGCGAAGGGAAACCAAACCAGGATAAGGTGGGGGGGGGGGCTGGCCGAGAGCCGAGGCCTTATCTAAGGAAGCTCTCAGCACCCGTGTCAGCCTGACGCCTGCCTGGAGGGCCTGCTCCTTGTTCTTAGAGGGCCTCCCTGTGTCTTCCCAAGCACCTGGACACGGCGCCTGGTCCCTGGTCCAGCCGGAATCTCTTAAACTGACCTTCTGGGTTGGGCAGAAAAAAGTCTACCCAAAACTTGCCTGCTGTAAAGGGATTTATTTGAGAAATAGATCCTGAAATTCTCAAAGGTTTCAGGGAAGGGAGAGCCTGACCCTGATGACTTTGGGAATCATCAGAAAGCATGCTGGGGGGGTGTGTGGTGGCTGTGGCTGGGGGGTCTGCCCCGGCCCTAGTGAAAGGGCCGCCTACAGGAGAGAACAGAGGCTCAGAAGATGGACATCGGTGCCCCTTCTCCTCCGTCCCTCTGCTCTGAGTGAATCTCTTGCCAGGGACCCCCCCTCCAAGGCTGCAGGACAGAGCCAGCCTCCGTGGCCAGAGGAAGCGCCCCCGAGCCCTCCCCAATCCCCCCCATTTCTCTCTGCAGGGACGCCCCCTGCCCGGCTGCTGCTCCCGTGCTTCCTCTTTAAGGCAGGGCTGTCCCACGTGGGCAACTTTTAAGACCTGTGGACTTCAAACTCCCAGAATTCCCCAGCCGGCTGGGAGTTGACGTCCAGAGGTCTCAAAGTTTTGCCAAGGTTGGACACCCCCCCTGCTTTCTCCTGTGACATCCCCCCCAAATCTCTCGCCCTGTACATCTCCACTAAGGTGACCCCCAAAAGACACCTGGAAAAATATTCATGATTGACAGGTCCTTCCCTATTGCCCGGCCAGCCGTGTTGCGTGAAAGACCTTGCCAAACCGCTGGGGAGGGAAAAAAACAAACCCCAATGCAATTGTACAAAGTTTCAAAATAAACAAGTCCTGTGATGAACGGAAACAAGTCGAGGGAGAAGAGGGGGTGTCTGGAGGAGGTAGAAGCAGCTGCTGGGGAAACAGAGTCAGGAAGGAGGAAGAGGGGGAGGAAACCAAGGCTGGGGGGGGCAGGAGGAGGTTGGAGGGGCAAAGGGGAGGAGGTGAGAGCGCCTTCCCCGGTGGAAGTGGCCTCCTGCCTCCCATCATTTGGAGCAGTGGTTCTCAACCTTTTTAATGCCGCGACCCCAACTGGTCGTAAGTCGAGGACTAAACCAGTCGTAAGTCGAGGACTAAACCGGTCGTAAGTCGAGGACTTTCCCTGCCCGGGAGTGCCGCACATGCGTGGTTCCACCCCCTGCGCCGGCCGAGGCGTAGCTGGCAAGCGGCAGAGACGGAGCAGGCCGGTAAATATTTGTTTTTAATTGGTTTTTATTGGGGATAGTGTTTGTATCGTTTTAATATGCTGTAAGCCGCCCTGAGTCCTGTTGGGAGAAGGGCGGCATATAAGTTTAATAAAATAAATAAATAAATAAATAAATAAATAAATAAATAAATAAATAAATAAATAAATAAATAAATAAATTAAAATAAATAAAATAAAGGGAGGTAAGGCACCCGCCGGAAAAGGGGAAAAAATGGCGGACAAAAAAAATGGCGGACAGCCTTTCTTGGCGACCCCCGTGAAATGGTCGATCGACCCCAAATGGGATCCCGACCCACAGGTTGAGAACCACTGATCTGGAGGGAGGCATCCGTGCTCAAAGGCCCAGGCCTGGCTTGGAGGAGAGTCGGAGGGGTCAAACGCGTCATCAGACTCCAGTCCCTTCCTGCCCACAGGAGACCTACGTCCAGCCCACCTTGAATTCTGCTGACTCTTCTCTCCCGCCAATTCATTTGGACCCTTAATAGCTGAGATCCTTGTTGAGAGCCTCAGCTTGCAAGAAAACTTTATATTCGTTTGAACTGCCCGGACTTCCTAATTTTTCCCGTGCTTGACGTGAGTTCCTTTTCCTACAGAGGCCAAACTGGAGCAAGAGAAGAGAATCTCTGTAGCTCAGGGTTGAAATGAGGGGACCTGGGTGCTCTCCGAGCTGGGCGGTTTTTTTGCAGATGTTTCATGACCCAGCTAGGGTACATTGTCAGTGCTAGAAGGAAGGAAGGAAGGAAGGAAGGAAGGAAGGAAGGAAGGAAGGAAGGAAGGAAGGAAGGAAGGAAGGAAGGAAGGAAGGAAGGAAGGAAGGAAGGAAGGAAGGAAGGAAGGAAGGAAGGAAAGAAAGAAAGAAAGAAAGAAAGAAAGAAAGAAAGAGACAGACACATACACATAGCGATATATGATAGATAGATAGATAGATAGATAGATAGATAGATAGATAGACGATAGTTAGCAATAGCACTTAGACTTATATACCGCTTCATAGTGNGAAGGAAGGAAGGAAGGAAGGAAGGAAGGAAGGAAGGAAGGAAGGAAGGAAGGAAGGAAGGAAGGAAGGAAGGAAGGAAGGAAGGAAGGAAGGAAGGAAGGAAGGAAGGAAGGAAGGAAGGAAGGACTGTGGGGTCCTTGGTGCTCTCTGAGCTGGGTGGTTTTCTTGCAGACGTTTCACGACCCAACTAGGGAACATCATCAGCGCTAGCACGTATGGTCTCATAAATCACATTTACACACCATTCAACGCGACCAAAAAAGCTGCCACTACGAAAGAAACAAAAAAGACCGGAGCACATCCTTTCCTGCAGGCCACAACCAGATAAGCAGGGATTAACACCAGAAAAACAATCCTCATCATGAAATGATGAAGGGGAAACCACACCCAGGCAACTTTATATAAACAAGATTCGACCCCATTCCATTCTAGCACTGATGATGTTCCCTAATTGGGTCATGAACGAAGCTCAGAGAGCATGAAGGTCGTCCTCCTCCTCCTCCTCCTCCCAGTGAAGAAGTTTCCTAGTTGGGTCTGGAAGAAAACCACCCAAAGTCAGAAGCACCAAGGACCCCACACCCAAAGTGGGTGCTAAGCTCCAGTGGCCGCACGTTGACCACCGCGGTCTGTCTTTGGTAGAGAAGCAAAACCCCTGGGCCATCTTTAGCCTTTTCTGCCCAGTGGCCTTCTTGGGGGAGGGGGGGCAGAATTCTCCAGGTCTTCTCCTGACCCTTCTCAGCCTCTCAGCCGGGCCCTCAGGACCAGGCAGCCCTTCCCGGAGCCTCTTCCTGTCATCAGAGGCAGCGAGTCCCGAGCTGGCCACCCCATCCTTCCCTGGCAGGCACCTGAGCTACGGGGGCCCCCTCCGGGCTCACCTTCCGATGCCTTCCAGGCCTTCCAAAGATCTTCCACGCTGATGAGCTTGTCCTCCCCGTGGAAGGTGCTGTGCTTGATGGTGGGGTCGTGGTAATTCAGGTCTTCCCGCAGGAACTGGGAAAGGAAGACAACGACAGAGTCAGTGCTGCCACCTCCGGCTTCTTCGCTTCGCTGGCACCCTGCCGTACACTGCGAGGGAGGGGGAGGGAATTGGGGGGGTAGCAGCCTGTGGGCCTGGGAATGGGAAGACCCACGGTGGGAGACCCGTGGCAAGAAGCAGAGGTGTCAAATCGGAGTGAGCCAGCCTCCAAGGGCACCCAGCCTGGGAACCAGATGTGAAACTGCAAGGAGAGGCACTGCGTATCCGAGCCAGGGAATATTCAGATCTAGCTTTACTTTCACTGCAACCACTTAGCTTTAGTAAAATAACCTTTCACTTCAATCAAATGGCGTCGAGGACCTTTCTTTCTTTCCCAAATGCCTACACTGGGGCGGGTCTGACGCACAGACTCAACCGGCTACGTCCGTCCCACACAAAGGACCCCCCCTTGCAAGGCTTCCTGCCAACCAGAGGCTGGATCAGGGCCAGGGCAGGGCAAGTCAGAGCCCTTCCTGGTTCTTATGCAAATGGAGGGCACCGAACCGTTGGAAAGGCTGCCACTGCCGGCTTGGAAACCTGCCCTGCGTTTTCCCACCTGCTTCCTGCGTGAGACCCCCTTGCCCCATGACAGCCAACCCTGCCGGGGGGGAGGGGGGCATCCACCTGTCTCGTTCTCCTGCGTCCTTTCACTGATTCTGTCCTTGCCAACAGCTGTCACAGCTCAGCAACCTTGCAAGAAGGGGCTGCCAGGACTGGTGCACAACAAGCAAGCAAGCAAGCCTGTCTAAAATGCCCTAGGGCAGTGGTGGGGAACCCATGGCACGGGTGCCAGAGGCGGCACTCAGAGCCCTCTCTGTGGGCACGCGCACCATCGCCCCAGTCCTGGGCCTTCAGCTGGGTTTTATAAAACCTTTTCGCTTTAGGCCTCCACCGCCGTGTGCAAAAAAAAAAAAAGGTTCAATCAATTTCAACTTCTCGCGGGGAAAAAAAGATCTTGCAAAGTTGTAATTGATTGATTGAACTTTTTAGTCCCACCCAGTCTGTCATTACCACCACAGCCACGTCCACCCCATTGCCACACCCACCCAATGGGCCACACCCACCCAATGGGCCACACCCACCCGGCACTCGACAATGCATAAGTGGGTTTTGGGTTGCAGTTTGGGCACTTGGACTCGTAAAAGGTTCGCCATCACTGCCCTAGGGCAGGGGTAGGCCGCCTTGGCTCTTTTATGACTGGTGGACTTCAACTCCCAGAATTCCTGAGCCAGCCATGCTGAGGGGAACGGGAGAGGTTTCCAAGCTGAGCCATGCTGGCTCAGGAATTCTGGGAGTTGAAGTCCCCAAGTGATGAAGGGGCCATAGTTCCCCCATGCTGGCTCAGGGATTCTGGGAGTTGAAGTCCATGAGTCATGAAGGGGCCATAGTTCCCCCATGCTGGCTGAGGAATTCTGGGAGTTGAAGTCCATGAGTCATGAAGGGGCCATAGTTCCCCCATGCTGGCTCAGGAATTCTGGGAGTTGAAGTCCACGAGTCATGAGGGGGCCATATTTCCCCATGCTGGCTCAGGAATTCTGGGAGTTGAAGTCCACCAGTCATAGAAGAGCTGAGGTTGTCTACCCCTGCTCTAGGCACTAAGAGGTTGTGGCTTTTAAGCAAACTTCATTACAAAAACATTTGCATGTTTGCTTGTTTTTAAAAAAAAGCACCCAGAAAGGAATAAAAAATTGAGCAGCCTTTGTGACACCATTTCCTGCTGTTCATCACCACTCCCAAACTCTTGACTTCAAAAAAAAAAAGCAAATTCAAATCAAGAGTGTCAAGAACAAAAAAGCCTGCGTTGTTGTTTTTTCTTCTGAAATGAGCCAGCAAGCCGCAAACACGGAGGGTGCTGTGTTCAGAATGACAGCCATAAAGGAAATGAAAGTGTGGCTGGACCAAAAAAGCAACTAATTGCAAGAGAAAGAGAATCTCTCCCAGGGTGAAGAAGGTGCTAGGCTGAACACACAGACACACACAGACACATACACACACACACACAAGCTGCTGCTGTGGCTTGATGAATCCTTTCCTAGTGGACGATCCCTTAAACAGGAGCCAGCCGTGTGCGGCAGCAGCAAAAAAAAAGCTAACACAATTCTGGGGTGTACAAACAGAGGCATAGAATCAAAATCACGTGAAGTATTAGTACCACTTTACAAAGCCTTAGTAAGGCCACACACCAGTTTTGGTCACCACATTACAAAAAAGATGTCGAGACGTTGGAAAAAGTGCAGAGAAGAGCAACAAAGATGATTAAAGGCCTGGAGAGTGAAAAATATGAAGAATTGCAGGATTTGGGTATGTCTAGTTTAATGAAGAGAAGGACGAGGGGGGGACATGATAGCTGTCTTCCAGTATCTCAGGGGCTGCCCCAAAGAAGAGGGAGTCAAGCTCTTGTCCAAAGTCCCTGAAGAAGGCAGGACAAGAAGCAACGGATGGAAACTGACCAAGGAGAGAAGCAACCTGGAACTAAGGAGAAACTTCCTGACAGTTAGAACAATTAACCAGTTTTATGGAAGTTGCCTTCAGAAGTTGTGGGTGCTCCATCACTGGAGGTTTCCAAGAAGAGGCTGGACAGCCATTTGTCTGGAATGGCATAGGATTTCCTGCCTAAGCAAGGGGTTGGACTAGAAGACCTCCAAGGTCCCTTCCAACTATTCTAATTCTTTCTCTACAATGTTCTCCTGGCTGGTTGGCCCACCAGAGTGTCCCCTGTGAAGTTACAAGCCCTAGGACAGGGGTCGGCAACTTTGGCTCTTTTATGACTCGTGGACTTCAACTCCCAGAATTCCTGAGCCAGCCATGCTGAGGGGGAAGGGAGAGGTTTCCAAGCTGAGCCTTGCTGGCTCAGGAATTCTGGGAGTTGAAGTCCAGGAGTCATGAAGGGGCCATCGTTCCCCCATGCTGGCCCAGGAATTCTGGGAGTTGAAGTCCGTGATTCATGAGGGGGCCATAGTTCCCCCATGCTGGCTGAGGAATTCTGGGAGTTGAAGTCCGTGATTCATGAGGGGGCCATCGTTCCCCCATGCTGGCTGAGGAATTCTGGGAGTTGAAGTCCAGGAGTCCTAAAAGAGCCAAGGTGGCCTACCCCTGGCCTAGGAAGAGGAAGGGAGACAACGGGGGGCCTCTGCAGAGAGCCAGGGCCGGGGTTTTAAGTGGAGAGAAAGGCGAGGAGGTTAGGGATGAAACGTCTCAAGAGGGTCCAAGATGGCGGAAGGCCGCGCTGAAGCCCTGCAGCCAAGCCAGGGGGGGGCAAAGCAGAGGTGCAGAGCTGCTTCCCTGCAGCCCCCTCCCCAGCACAGCCCGTGACCTCCACCCAGAGGCCGGCAAGGTCCTCCCGACCCTCCAGGCAGCTCCGCTGGGAGCAGCCCTGATCTGCCCGAGGGAAGCAGGCAGGGGAAGCAGCTGTTGCTCGGTATATTTAGCTCAGGAAAGAAAAGTGATCCCTCCTGTCAGTCCGGCTGCCAGAGCCCGGCTTCCAGGAGCCCCAGGAAGCGGCCGTGCCCAGGCGGAGGGGGGGGGCTGCTCCGTCCACGGCAGAGGGAGCAGGAGGACCCCCTGCTTTCCCCAAAGACCAGGAGCCCAGCAAATAGGCTGTGCTAAGCCTTCCTTCCCTCCCTTCTTCCCTTTCCTTCCCTAGCTTCCTTCCTTCCTTCCCAACTTCTTCCCTTCCTTTCCTCCCTCCCTCCCTCTTTCCTTCCTCCCTTTCCTTCTTTCCTTCCCTTCCCTAGCTTCCTTCCTTCCTTTCTTCCTCCTTCCCTCTTTCCTTCCTTCCTTCCCTTCCCTAGCTTCCTTCCTTCCTTCCCAACTTCTTCCCTTCCTTTCCTTCCTCCCTCCCTCTTTCCTTCCTCCCTTTCCTTCTTTCCTTCCCTTCCCTAGCTTCCTTCCTTCCTTCCCAACTTCTTCCCTTCCTTTCCTTCGTCCCTCCCTTCTTAATCAGCTTCCTCCCTCCCTTTCTTTCCTTCCTCCCTCTTTCCCTCTTTCCTTCCTTACTTCCCTCTTCTTCCTTTCTTCCTCTCCCTTCTGTCCTTCCTTCCCTTCTTTCCTTCCCTTCCCTAGCTTCCTTCCTTCCTTCCCAACTTCTTCCCTCCCTTCTTAATCAGCTTCCTCCCTCCCTTTCTTTCTTTCCCTTCCTCCCTTCCCTCTTCCTTCCTTCCTTCCTCCCTCCCTCTTTCCTCCCTCCCTTCCTTCTTCCCTCCCTCCCTTCTTAATCAGCTTCCTCCCTCCCTTTCTTTTCTTCCCTTCCCTCTTCCTTCCTCCCTCCCTCTTTCCTTCCCTCCCTCCCTCCACCTGCCTGCCTTCCCTCCTTCCTCCCGCCGCTCAATTCACAGTTCCAGCTCTTAGTAAGAAGCCCCCCACTGTTGCCCTCCCTGCCCACCCACCCAGAGGCCCCCCCTCCGCATGGAACTCTACTGCTTCCTAGGTCAACGTACTGAAACAATACACAGAAAAGGAGAATCAAAACGACTAAAATGTCACAAGAACAGAAATGATTAAAAGATGTCGCATGCATTGTGAAAAGGTGGGTGGAGGGAAGCAGGAAAAAACATTCCTTTGCCCACAAGATGCCCACCCGGAAAGCCCAAAGTGAAGAGCTGGTGGCCAAGAGATGCTGACAAAAATCATACTTCAGAGAACCACAACATGACAACCTGCCAAATCATCACACAAGCTGCACAGGGCACCTTCCGGTCACCTTTGCAGGTGTCCAGGCTGGTTGTGGAGAAGGTGACCCACTTGGTTTGGAGCAGGGGCCCCCCAACCTTGGCCCCTTTAAGACCTGCGGACTTCAACTCCCAGAATTCCCCAGCCAGCTATGCTGGCTGGGGAATTCTGGGAGTTGAAGTCCGCAGGTCTTAAAGGGGCCAAGGTTGGGGGCCCCTGGTTTAGCGCCTTCTCTTGCAACAGACACCCCTAAATCTGGCTTGTGAGCTAATCATACATTAAAAACCAACCCTACTGTCAGGGAAAA